CCAATATTGTTCCTTGTCTGTTAAGTAAAGTAGTCTTATCACATGAATACAGATACCAAATCATGTAAGGTTTTCAAGCAGACATTAAATTCAAAGATCAAAGATAAAAGAATTTCAGGACTTTTTCCCTTAGTGACAATGTCAAAGATTCTTTAAACAAAGAATGACAACATTAAGACTCATAATAAGCATCAGAAATATGCACTAATGTTGTGAGTGTATTACATTTATAGCATGACAGCTAAGCCTATAGCATGTAGTGTGTTGTAAACATCAATATATTTTAAAATATCCATATTTTGTTAAAATCGCTAAAATTTATTCATAGAAGATTCTAAATGACAATGTATTTAATTAATAGAAAGTTGCCTTCTTTCCCATCCTTCAGCCTCCTGATGCTGTTTGCATGGGAAGAGTGGGTCTCAAATAGAAGTAAATAGCATGCTTGTTCAGGCAATCTGCTCAGATCCTCTGTCCCCATATTAGTCTTAGGAAGGAATTAGAGGAAGGAATTTTCCCAACAAGCCTGGAGAGTTTGTAATTTCCCTTTGTAGGTCTACACCCTTTGAAGAACTACAAGAGTAGGGCTGAGAACTAGACAAAATGACGAATTAGCATACAGTGATTGACTATGTACTTCTGAATGCTAAATGTTTACTGTTTAAGGAAATAATCTACTGTTTGAAGGATTGTTATAACCCTCATGGCCACAAGCTGACATATATCCATGGGTTTTAGAGTCCTTTGTTCTCATTGTTATTGTCCGAAGAGAAGTCTGCAACTCTTCCCTGGGGCTTGGCTCATAACAGAGATTTTTGATTGCACAAATACTTAAGTATGCTCAAGACTAAACGATCTAGAAGAGCCAAAAATGATTATAGTGAGAGTAATGTGTTCTGGCACTGGCAAATCTCCCTGTGCCCCTGTGGAAAAAGATGTGTGTGAGTTTGGAAGTAAAAATCAAATTAATTTGGAAAAACTGTAAAGACGCACTATCCAAAGCAGTGATGTGAAAATGTGAATGTAAAAACTGCTTTGTAAAAGCAAGAACAAGGGAGCTGTGCGACCTGGTCTAGTGGTTGGCAACCCTGCCCATGGCAGGGGGTTGGAACTAAATGACCGTTATGGTCCCTTCCAACCTAAGCCATTCTGTGATTCTATGACATCAATGGGCTTCATGCCTGCCCGCCTTAATTCTCATCACAGTAGCAGCTTTAGATACCTGTATTTCACTGTTACAGGAAATAAGTAAAATAATATCAACCCCCTTTCCAAATTAGGCCTGGATCCATCTGTTTTGAAAACTTCTTTAGATTTTTGCACCTTGGCATAATTCTTCCTTCTTTTGCATTCTCATTACTTCTTTACCATGTTCAAATTTATGTAAAGCCAATAGAAGGTTTATTGGCTGTTCCACAAGCCTTACCATCTATTTGATGGATTGTCATCTATTTTAGAAAGCAACTCTTGTGCTCTGAATGTTCTCTAAAATGACTAACACATTGTTCCTTAAAGGCATTCCCTTGGAACTGGTTAGAAGTCAGAGGGGTATGATTTAGATTCTCTAAGCATTGAAGAGTATCTAGGGTATTTTAAATGTGACTACACAGACAACACTCCCACCTTCACACAGAAAGAAGCAACTAAAACTTGACATACAGCTGGCTGTGGTGCCAGGCCCTGATATACTAATCCTAATGCAAATAAGCTTTGTGCTTGTATTGGAAATTCATGAACTCTAAAAATTTGTGGAAGTTTGGAATATTCATCTATTACAATGCTTTATATCAGTCCAAGTACAGATAGCATTTAATGATCTTTGTGGGCTGAGACCTCAGACTGAGTATCTTCAAAGTATTTAGCAGGCTGAGAAGCCATTATCTTTCTGAACTGGGATGCTTGTACACAAGAATCTTACATTTTGTTCCTTGGTGGTCTTCCTGTACAGCATAAGTGTTGCAATGCAGACAGATTGTTTCATCCAAGAGCCTATTATTCTGTGTAGTGTGTCTACACCAATACTACTTTTCAAAATAATGCCCTTCTGAAGTCAATCATCTCTTTTTTGTCCCTCAGTACACTTTAGTTTTTCACCAAAAAGAATTCTAGGACTGTGTGACTGGTTTCCTTTAGAGTAAAGGGTGGCAAGGTCCTGGCAGAGACTGCCCAGAGAGGTTGTGGACGCCCCATCCCTGGTGGCATTCAAGGCCAGGTTGGATGGGGCCCTGGGCAGCCTGAGCTGATTGGGAGCAGCCCTGGCCACGGCAGGTGGTTGGAAGTGGATGATGTCTAAGATCTCTTCCAGCTCAAGCTATTCTGTGATTCTGTGATGAAAATAAAACAGAAGAAGCACTTCACAAGTATACCTATTTAACTTGAGCTGCTGATAGTCACTCAGTTCTGAGGATCACAGTAGACCCAATGTGACATACAACTTCAAACATACTGTGGATGCCAGGTCTTCAGCATCATTACAATGTATTAATTGTTCCTATTCTTGTCTAATATAGGTGTATTCAGAGGCAGGTGCTATGATAAAGAAAATCCCCAAGGAGACAGAGGAATGCTGAGATTAGTCTTCCTGTCACTTATGAATTCATGGGCTTTTTTCTTTTTTCGAAAAACTGGGAAACTAAAATTGCTAAATTTCAGAAGGGAGCAGAAACAGTGGATAAAGAGGAAAATTTTTGCTTTTTCCTCTCATTTTCTACATCATGTTATGTTGACCACAAAACCACAGGAGGCTTATGTGCCAAGGAAAGCACAGAGCCAATAGTATCATTTGTAGACATCCTCTGGGATCAACAGAATTTTAACAGGTTAAGAAGAATTTAATAGGTTACTTTCTGAATCAGTAACAAGAGACACAAATTAGTCGGTTAAAAATACATCACAAAATGCCTCTATTTTCTGAAACTAGGACTATTCCTAGGTTTTCTTATGGAGGATGTCAGTGAAATTCCTTGGAGAAATACATTTTATTTCATTATGAAAATATATTCACTGCATTAGAAGCCTGAATCCATTTTAAAATACTTCTCTTGGCGTACATTTATATATATCTTAAAAGTCTTTTTTCACTAGAACTCAAAGAGAAATATTTGAACTGTGTAATTAAATGGCAGAGGATTCCTCTATCCCATCTTGAACCTTCCCAGTGACAGTAACAGCAGGAGCCCTCTGCTGAGCTTACCCTGTACATGGTCTATTTTTTCCTCAATAATCCCCAGGTGGACCCTTCAGGCAAGAGAAAATATTCGGCAGCATAGATTTCCAATAGAATTTTCCTCAAGATGGTACTGTGATACTAACTGCTGCAGATAGGAGACAATAATCTTCACTTCTATTAGGTGGGCACGATATCATTATCAATTCGAGCTATAAATCCTATTGAATGTCAGAGCTTTAAATGGAATTCCCCTCAAAATCTTCCCAGCTTACTGCTGATAAGTAAGACAAATCCTGCGGGTTGTTTCTTCACACTTCATATTGCTACATTTCTCCCAAAGACTATTAGAAAATTAACCCCTAAACTTGCTAAGGCAAAAACAACAAGCATGTAAGGGAACATGGCTTTCTTTGCCTTCCTTCCAGTTCTCTGTCTGACTCTGGCTTGAGTATTTCTTGCATTTTCTTCCTCCACTCTGGATCTTTGATCCTGGTTGAAACACGAATTCCTTTAAGAGTAGCAGTCCCACCGGGCATCCTCACTTCCTAACCTAATTACTAAGAAAAGAATTCTCTCTATAAATGCCTGACTGGTTCTGTAAACAGTTGTTCATCCTGTAAAATCTGAAACTCAGCTCAAGAAACATCACGTCTGTTCTGAAGAGATGCATGGAAAAAAACTTATCCCAGACCTGAATAGATGGTGGGATAGGGGTAGTTTGGGTTATCTGGTGCTGCAAACAAACTGACCCATTCTCCTTCACTGAATTTTGTTTCAGTGCCTTTGAAGCAATCACCTTCCAGCTGGGCAGCTTAACAGTTTATTGCTGTGACTGCTCATATCCCTATGAAACGAATAACTGCCTAAATAAGGAGATTAGCTATCAGAAAATTAGTCTTATGTTATCTATCAAAAATAGTCAAGGTTTTACTTCCTTTGAGCTGTCTTGAATTTAAAATACTACATACACAACAGGGTCCTGATTTATTTGCTACGATATCTTCATGCCAAGCTTTTTCCTCCTTAATCACATTACTTAAAATATTTATGAAGGCTGGGTTTATTACTCCTTTATGCAAAGTGGCAGACTGATGACAGCTTTCAAATTATTTTTCACCATGAACATTTAAAATAAAAAAATAAGATTAATTGGAAGAATTAATCACATAAGTTCTCTTAAGTGGCAAGAGAATATACCATTTGCATACAGGAAAGTGAAAGAAACTTCTTACTAAATTTCTTTTTAAAATTTCTTGTAATAAAAACCAAGTAGACTAGCCAAGGTTGTACATACTCTCATCCGTAATGATGCATTTTAATCATAATTTACTCATCAACAAACGGGGCTATCATGGCAGCTGAAGCAACAAGAGATACAATGCAGTTCAAACACTGGGACATAAATAATGTCATCAGCATTTGCTATGGCTAAGCAAATATACTGCTTTTTATTTTTCCTCCTGTATTTCATGAGGTATATCTCAGCAGACCTATCTGTCCTCAATTTTTTAAATATGTACACACTATAATTCTACTATACTGCACATGTTCTTGTTGCTGTGTATTGATCATTGTTGAGCTACTTACACAGACATTTAGATTAAGAATCACAGTAAGTTTCATATTCTAAAAGATACACTCGGCATAAACATGTTCTGTTCAACTCACAATGAAATGGATTTATGCTGAAAATCATTCAAAAGACAGGTGTCAGAGTCAGTGTCACAACCACTGAAGAGATAATGGAAGCCATGTTCTGATTCCTCTAAAACTGCTGACATAATTCTTTAAAAACTGGTATTTAGAAACTAAAATTTATTTCCAAATGCAGAGGGAGTTCCAGAAAAACCAGCCAAGTCTTCACAAACTTCACAAACTGAAAAATCAACCGAACCAGCTAAGGCAACTCAGCAAGAGCAGCATCATCTCAATAATGGGAAGGAAGATGCCAAGTGAGTAAAATCAATTTAAAAAAAAAATCAAGTTTTTTTTTGATTGTACATTTCTGTATGCAGTGTATTTCAGTTCTTAGGAATTTCTCCAGTACCGTAAGGATCTGAAAAGCATTATTTCAGTTCTAAGGCAACCATACATACAAAGTATTCATTCAGTATGTGCTTTTGATAGATTCATACCTCATTCTAACTTGCAGGAAAAAGGAAAAGGATTTCTTTAATACCCGTACAAAATAAGTCTAGTAATTGTGATAATTATTATTATTATTCTACCTTAGCAAAGGTGTAAGCCCAAGGTTCCTGCTGTGAATATCTGTAAAGTTTGTCACATCATCCTGGCTTGAATGATTTTACCCTGTACATATTTTTGTACTGTTGTACATTTTTTTTTTGTACATACTGTTATACTCTTAAATCACCACTAGAACATGCAGTTGATTAGAACACTATTTTCCTGAGAAGAGACAAAGAAATTAAACTATATTTGTTCTTCAGAGAAAAAGCCTTTCTTTTCTCCTTCAGGAGATTCTACTGGGTCATTCTACTTTTGGAAAAAGCGTAGGTAAAAGCTTCTTTTACTAAAATAGGATTAAGAGAGAAAACCAAAAATGTATAATCCTATAATAATCTATTCTTACTACAGCACCATAGATTCATACAGCATCCAGGGTTGGAACCCCTCTCCAAAAGGAACCTGGAACAAATGTCTGCTAAGAATATAGAGGTTAGACCCAGCTTCCAAATTAGAACAAGTTGATGAAAGCTTTGTCCAATCTAGTTTTGAATCTCCAAAGATGGAGATTCTATAGTTTGTCTGGACAATCTGTCTACATCATACCTTGCCTTTTTGCTGTAAACCTCCAAGAGCAGTCTAGATTCATATTCTCTATAATCACTCATGGAGCAGTAGAACACTGCAATAACCTCTATCTTCTAAACTCTTCAGCTCCAGTCTGAATAAACGCAATTTTCTCAGTGTCTCCTAGTCCCCAGTCATCCCAATAACCCTAAGCTAGTGTTGTACCATGTTGTCAGTGTCTTTTTTTTTTAAGGGAGAAGCTAATTGTCAATCAAGTTCACTATTTTATTTTGTTTATGCATTCAAATTTACCTACTAGAATTATTTTTTAAGAAAATAATTCCCTTTGTTATGTGAGAAAAGCTATATAAATATAAATGTATGTGCAGAATTTGAGGTGAATGGAAATGATAATGGAAATGATATTAATGGAAAAAGTTTCACCTTATCTTCATTTACTGCAGCTTTCATTTTTTTTTAAATGTATCTCTGCAGGCTCAGATACGTAGAGTAAGGAAGAATAAAGGTAGTAGCCATGTTTGAAGCAGCATGCTTTACAGTTAGGTCAGGCTTGTATATCTCCATACAGTACTTCAGGGTGAAGTAAAAAACTTCCACATAATTCAAATTTTAAAATTCTTAGGCTTGGGTAATATTGCTTTACGAGCATTCATACTAATGCAACTAACTTATCTGAAGTCAATAGGACTACTTATGACAGTTTGCAGGGTTGTGCACCAGGTGTGTCCTTCTTCCAGTTCATCTACATTAGAATAGACTTTTACTCATGATGCAACACAGCCTGTGTTATCTATTAATAGGGAAGAAGTTTGCTGAGTCTCCTCTGAAAGAGCAAAATGATTTTTTCTCTTGTTAAGTAAATGATAACTTTGACAAAGGCAGCATTTATTCCTGAAAACTCCCACATAAACTCTTTGTCCACAAGAAAAAAATTTGCTTTCCCTCTGGACATATACTCATTTTTCAAATATAAAAGTACACTGCAATGGACATTAATATACAGCAGAAAGACATAGCTCTGATTTTCCTACAGCTGTCTCAACACTATTCTGAAAGCATAGATACAGACAGCTACCAAGGCGCTGAACTGCAACAGAGACTGAAACTTTCAGTGTCTGATTGCTAATGGCTTAGATAGGATTCCACACAAGTCTGCCTCTCTGCCAATGCGTCGTTTCTTCCCTCCACCTCTAATGACAACATAACAGAATAATAGTCCATTTCCATGAATAGCTATTTGCTGAGCAATAATAATTTCTAGGAAGGAGGGCTAAGAGTATGCTGTCTCTTCACAGCAAGAAATGAAGGAACAGAACAACACTCAGAATCTAATTTGCACTCTAGTAGAGGACACTGATATCTTATTGACAAGGAATTAGCATAAAACTTAGTTGCAGTCTTCATATTATACCAAGATTTCTTTCTACTGGGGAGGGTTTGTAAAAACATGTGTGCATGTACATAGCCATACAATTTTTTTGAAATGAGGCACAAGCATTTCAGGCAAGATACTCCACAGCATGTAAGGAAATGTGGCACATCCTCAGGAAACAGCAAGGACTGCTCTTGCCTTGGAAGCAGGGAGCTGCCTGAAGGTCCCTGGGCAGAGGTCAGCCCTGGTTGAACTCCTGCAGTGCTTCTCCCCACTGTCACCAAAGGTAGGGCCAGCCTTCAGTGGCATTGCTTTAGATCTGGCCCTGAGCATAGCAGTCACACTTCCAGGAGGGGATAATATGCTTACTCGTATAATCATTTCTCATTTCTGTACTTTTTATTTTAAAATACTTTTTTTTTCCTAACCTGAAAGATGACCTTGTTCCTTTACCACGTAGTTGAAGAAAGTTACCACCTTTGCAGATTCCAGGTTCTGCCAGTCTCAGTTCATATTGATGACTAAAGGAGGATGCAGCCCTTCCCTCGGTCCCATCTTCTCATCCTTTGTTTTACACTTGCTCAACCAGGTGGCTGCTGAATCAGCTAGATCCAGCTGGAAACATTCACTTGTCATATGGTTTCCTACAAACATGAAGACAACACAGAAAGGTACAAGAAGGATGAAATGAAGTTGGCAAAATTAGGAGAATCAGACAAGTATCTCATGAGATTGGCACCCTGAGAATAATGGGCTCTAGCAAATAGAACAGACAAGACAATCTGATGGTTTCTCTTGGTCTTAAAATGTAAAAAAATTTCAAATACTTTGAAAGAGGCATCAGCAAAGTTACTGCTCTGCAGTGAAATAAACCCAGAAATACACCTCATCAATCACAAAGCTGAAGGAATGTCTTAGTTATGAGTAGAATAATTATGCTGACTTCGGTTCAAGTTAAAACAGTTGCAGTTCACTCAAAAAAATCCCAAACCCTAAGGTCTCCAGACCACCTTGCTCTGCAAGAAGAGTGGTACAGTCATTTGTACACGAGAGAAGACACCATCATTTGCTTTGTGATGGTATTGTTTGGAACCCAAAATCTAATGGGCAATTTTGGAAAGACATAATTACAAATGTGACACAGGAGAGACAAATGCAAGACTTTTATATGATCCTACACTGAAGGGTGGCAATCAGCATAGTGCTTGGCACATGTGACAGTTGGTTAAGACAGCTGTAAAGAGTTATGGCATAGAGGTGAGTAGAGGTGAGACAGATATATAAGGAAGAATTAACAGCGGATGTCTGGCCCCAAGGAGTGAGACTAAGAAACTGAAGCAGCCTAGAATACATAAAGGATGAAAGAATGGTACATGAAACAATCAACTGAAAGCATAGCAGAGAAAAATGGAGGGATAAAGAAGCCTTCAATAGCCACTTCTCTCTTCTGTGTATTTTAAAAGCCTTTAAGCCTGGATAAAGTTGTAAGAGTGTTTCATCTTTCCAGATTACCAAGATGATTACACTGTACTATTTATACTAAGGCAGTACACGGAAACCCCAGTCAAGGATGGTGAACTCTGCTCTGTAAAATGTTGTGTAAAATGACAGTCGATACTTGCAGGCCACATATCCAAGAGTATATGAGAAAAAAATATAGTAGGTAACCAGGACTTCAGATGCTTTCACATTTCACCTGAAAATGCTCTGTCTAGAAAAGAACAAAAATTTGAATCTGATGTGCTGCCTACAGAATCTAGCTACCATTAACAAAACATATTCAAATAAAATGCACTAAACAAATTTTAATACAATATAATTATTAAATAAAATATGCTTAACATTCTCACACAATGTTCTGCTTTTGCAAATTCAGAAACCTAGCCTTCAATATTTTCCAGGAGAGATCTTGTACTGCAAACTGTCATGAGAGCAAGTGCTCAGGAAAACTGAATTGCATTCACATTTTTCCTTTTGCCTTTTTCATAGCTACATACCATTACCTAGTAGGTTATGCCAGCCTTTCTAAAGCCTGTAAAGGAGATGCTTTTTCCTCTCTAATTTGGTTAATAGCAAAAAAAAAAAGATAACAAAACAAACAGAGATTAAGAGTCAATTTGCTATGTGGTGCATAGCCAGGTTAATAAAGAGAACTCCTGCTGGTAGCCTGTTCTTACTGAGGAATGTATTTCATTTAGCTCAATTACCTCAACCAAGAAAATTAGAGTGCTTATTAGTGCTTGCCATCCACTAGTTGCTACACATCAATTCACCATGCAGACATATCCTAGAGAAATGATGCTGAATCACAAGAACAGAATCTTAGCACCTCAGTGAAACAGGTTGATATCAACTCTCTACAGTTTCCAAAAATCATAGTTTACTGTTATCATACTAGGAACCTGAAAAGATTGCAATCGTGGCTCTAAATTCTAACTGACTTGCAAGAAAGTAAAACAAGTTCAACACTGAGCAATTCTGAAAAATCCCATTTTAAATAGAGTTGCAAACATATTTTCTAAAGAGAAATACCAGCAGTACATAAAATTGCAGACAGATGTAACACACTTTGTACATTTTGTAAAATCAGAATTCTTTTCTTAAATCTCATATTTTATTCTGCTTATCTGTCACAGCTCACAACTTTTGCTGCCTGCACTGGAGTTTCTGCAATGGATAAATAGAGAACCCAAAAAAATAAATAACAATGTGTTGGTGGACCAAATTGGATTAAATTTGTTGAAAACATAGGTGAGGTGTATGTTCCTAAACCCTTTAAATTCTGTTCTGTTCTGCAGTTGCCAA